CTCTCTCTCTCTCTCTCTCTCTCACACACACATACACACACACACACACACACACACACACACACACACACACACAGTGGCTGTCTCTGTCTCTCTCTGCCATGCTGTGTCTTTTCCGTCCATTGTTGCTGCCTTGTAGAGTGTGATGCTACATTCACAACATGTTAACCCTTGATGGCTCAGCTTAGTGCTAGTTCATCATTTAGCAGACGGCATTCCCTGGGAAATATCCACCCTCTTCCACCCTCTGACTCCACCACCTCAACCAAGCTTAAAAAATTTCCCTGGAACCTAACCTCCCCTATTTACATTAATTCTTATAGGGAAATTGGATTCGCTTAACATTGTTTCTATTAAAGTAGCATTTTTTTCAGGACTATAACTACAACATTAAGTGATGAATTACTGTAAGTATATATTAAAGAAATAAGGTGATGATTTATAGTTTTATAAGTCTGGTAATTTTAAGGGTGCAGTCAATGTTGACATACAGCCAAGGACAGTGAGCTGGTAGCTTTAAACAGTTCTGCCAATGACTGGTGTGTTGGTAGGCAGGGTGTGGACTGAGGTTAGGTAATGGTCACTCCAAAACCTGAAGGGAGGGGTCAGTCAGGCATGGTGCAGGTTTTCAATGAGGTCCGGCTTTGATTGACAGATGAGTTCAGTGGCTGTGATTGGTTCATAAGAACAGACCAATCAGGGAAGGCTTAAAGATGACTGGTGGATGGGTCAAAGCCAAAACTCCCACTAACTTCAATGGGTTCAGAATTTCACCCTGTTGTCTCTCTGGCTGCCTCTCACAAAAGGTTAGAAAGTTGTCTCCCCTGCATGGGCTTCAATGTGGCTCTTGAAGGGCCCACCCCAGCAAAGCCCATTGGGCCTTATTGAATGCACTGCAACTAACTAATGTTAATGCAGGCATGACCATTTACAGTAGCAGATTATCTGGCCCCTAATACGTACTTTGCTCTCAGTATATACAAATGTTTTTGTATTATAAATACTTGGGGAAAAACTCCATACCTAGCTTTAATCTCTTTTCCATGGATTAAATTTAATTATTTGATTCACCATCAACAGTCAGAAATGCAAAGAAAAATGAAATTACTCACATTTGTCTTTTCCAATTTGTGAATGCACAGCAATGGCTAGGATAGGTGAGGTTAGCTTCAATCAGTGCAACAAAGTTCTCTAAGGCAGGCAGCTTTTTTAAATTGTAGGTAGATCGTGCTCTTAGCTTCTTAATATTTTCTAATCCATAGGCAGGCAGGAAACTGATTCTTGTCTTTGAAATATCCCTTTAAGACATATAATACTCTCAGCAAAGAGGTAAATTAACAACCCTCTCCCACCCCTCAATTTAGAGACATTTTTGGCTCCTGCACATTATAAGAGACTAGTGATCGGAAAGAAGCTGTCTGGACAGCCACATTGAAAACAGGATCAGAGGATGATGTTGTACTTTCTCATTTCGTTCATCTGATGTCTGCCTCGGAAAGATTCTAAAAATCACTGATGTGAAACCAAATAAGAGAAGATTTGGACAGGTACAGACATCAAAGACAGTCATGGCTTGGTCTTTGAAGGGGGAAAAGCATTCTTAACAAATAGGATTAATTTCCTTGAGATAGTGACAATAAGGGTCAACAAATGTGAAACAAAAGACCATATAACTGGGCTTCAAGAAGGCTTGCAACAGAGCAGTGCATAAAAAAGAATGAAAGAAACTGCTTATAACATTAGAAAGCAGCTATTGATGGTGAAATTCTAGCCTGGATAAAAAAAATTGCTTTAGTAACCAAAGTTGAAATATACCAGCACAAATCAGATGGAAGGAAAATGCTAAGAAGGGAAGATCAGTAGCGGACATTAAGTCCAGTCTTTTTGAAACTATAAATCAATGAAAAGGAGGAGAAAACAAACACAAAAGTGTGCCTGCTTGTAGATGATGAAAAAATGATTTAGTGGGTCAGTACCAAAGAAAAAAAGAGAGACTGGGCTTAAAGTGGGAGACCCGAGCTGATGTTCATTGAAGACTATTGTTGAGTATTATAGATTCATTAAAAATAGAAGACAAATAATCTACATTCTCTAGTAGCAGTAAAGTATCTGGTACATAACAACTGAAAACCATTAGCTCTTTGTGAGGCAAGGTTTAGGAAATACTGAAATGCACCAATCAGTGAGGAAGATTATTATGGCACTATAAAAAGGGCTGATGAAATCACACCTGAATTACTATTATGGACAATCCTGGACACCTTATTATGGGAAGGAAAATGAGGAACTGGAACAAAATGCAGAAAGCAACAGATAGGTACATGGGGGGTAGCAACTATGTGGAAAAGTTGGGAAAATTAAGGGCTTGTCTATACTTAGGCGCTGGTTCGGCAGCAGGCAATCGAACTTCTGGGTTCGATTTATCGCGTCTAGTCTGGACGTGATAAATCGAACTCAGAAGTGCTCCCCGTTGACTCCGGTAATCCTGCTCGCCGCCAGGAGTACGCGGAGTCAACGGGGGAGCCTGCCTGCCGGGTCTGGACCGCGGTAAGTTCGAACTAAGGTACGTCGACTTCAGCTACGTTATTCACATTACAGAAGGTGCAAATAAATGTATTTATGTGGAAGGCAGTTACTTGTGAAATGGACTATCAAAGGTAGTGATGGAGGCTACAACTATAAAGTTATTATAAAAAGAACTAGACAGGCAATGAGAGGGAAAATATCCTGCGATGCAAACACAAAATCCTTCCTTGTGCTTCACAGATACTGGAAGGAGGCCAGTGGTCCTTCACCTGCTGTCAAGGAGCAGTGCAGGATTTCTCCCCAGTGTTCTAGAGAGTTATAATTGGCATAACATATCTCATATGGGGCACTGTTTACTAATGAGGGGGCATGCCCGGCTGGGCCATCTGCCTACTGTATATGCTGTGTCCATCAACATGGGAAAGCAGGGAAGCATGCTGCTTCCTTTAACAATAGCAGTAAAATGAACCAAGCAATATGTTGCCCAATCCTTCCTGCAGGCAGATATGTGCCCCACATTGTTATGTTCTCTGTCTTGTGTTAGCAAAGAAAAGAGCTTGCCCTAATGAAGTAGATGAGCTGACCTAATTTGGAAGCATAGCTTTTCTCCATCCTCAATACATTCAGTCTCTATTTCATTGATAACTTTCCTATATCATGGCAATATTTCATTTGATATAAATTACACAATAGGCACAAGTTATTTTTATTATGAGATACATCTAGTGGCCACTTTCAGTAGTAGTACATTCAGTAGTTGGGGAGATCAAATGTCAATAATAAGTTTCATACAATTGGTGTGAATGACATTCACATTTAGAGTCCAATAATCTGATGTGGGGCTCCCTCAGTCTCTCCTATTGAAGTTGTTCCACTTTAATTAAATAATTGGGCCTGAGAAAGCATGATCATTCCATAGTTTAGTGGTTAGAGCACTCATGGGAGATGTTTCAAATCAATTCTTCCACTCCCAGTTCCCAGGTGAGACGCCTACCACTGTGCTAAAAATTATAAGGGAGGGCCTTCCCCTTCCCAGCTGTTCTGTGAAGTTGCCTCAGGTGCCTGACCTGGTAGGTGGCATATAAGCATGCCTACCTGAGTGACCCCCACATGCAAGTTAGGTGGCTGAATTGTTATCTTCTCTTGTTTGTGAATCGCTCCTTGAGTGAGGCAGCAGTGAGCATGCCCAGAGGCAAAACCATGGATGCTTAGGAAACTTTTATTGCAAACATTTAAGGGTGAGTTTAGGAGCCTACAGGATTAGGTGGCACCCAAGTGTGAGTTTTGTGGATCACAGTAGTGCCTAAAAACCTATCCAGAGAGCATATGGTGACTAATCAATTGGAATAGATAGCTACTGTCCTGTTACTGTTTGCCTGCAGACCTTAAGAGGACCATTGGGGCAGCTCTGCATCAGGCTTAGGCTTTGTTTACACTGGCACCCCCCTAAACGACAAAAGTTTTAATGATGAAAAGGACCATTGGGGCAGCTCTGCATCAGGCTTAGGCTTTGTCTACACTGGCACCCCCCTAAATGACAAAAGTTTTAATGACGAAAAGCGCTGGTGTGGCCAGTGCTTCGTCGGTAGGAGCCATGCTCCCAGAGATGAAGCTACCACCCCTCATTGGAAGTGGAGCTCTCTCCTGGCAATAAAGAGCGACTACACAACACACCTTACAATGGCGTGGCTGCAGCAGCATAACCGCACGATTATAAGGTGTGCAGTGTAAGCATAGTCTTAGTAGGCCTGTCAGGACTCAGGAGCCAATGTAGAAATTGCAGGAATAGTGTGCCTGGGCTCCTGTACAATTGTCCCTTCCCCCTTGGTTTCTTATTAGGCTCAGCAAAACCTGATGAAAGAAATAGTGCTGTCAGCTGATTATCCTTTTCAGACCTAAATAAGATTACCCCACCCCACCTTCAGGATTGTAGTTAGGGATTGGGGTAAGGCGTAAGAGGGGAGTATGTGATTGATCTATGGCTCACAGAGAGGTAGGGATTGGGATACCCCTCAAGAGCCTCCTGTGACTCATCGACCTGGTAGCAACAAAGCTTCACTGCTAATGCCATGAATTGGTGAATGTTGATGCTGGAATCATTCAACTGGAAATAAAGTGCACATTTTTAACAGTAAGGATGATTATCCATTGGAACTTACTTAAGGATGTGGGGGATTATCTATCACTTGAAGTTTTTAAATCAAGATTGGATGTATTTTTAAAAGTTATGCTCTAAGGCAACCAGACATTATGGGCTTGATGCCGGGATTACTGGGTGAAATTCTATGGCCTGTGTATACAGGAGCTCAAATTAGATGATCACAGTGGTCCCTTCTGATCTTAACGTCTATGACGCTATGAACCTTTTACATTATTTCAATATTTTGAGATGTAAGATACAAGGAGATGCTAATTGCCAACTAGTTACTGGTTCAGGAAGAACAAGAGATAAGTCAATTAGATGTACCATCTAATAAAATATTGCAGTCTGCACCACAAATTTGATATGAGCAATTCTGTTTTTCCCAGCATAGATATTATTACAGGTCAATCATTTCCATAAGTGAAAACACATTTCTGGTGTACACTATGGTGACAGATGACTGGAAGACCTTTCTTTCATGATTCTCAGTCAGGATAAAAAGGCAACATACCATCCATATAACTGTGGATGCATTATTAATAGAACAGAATAATTCCTATACAAATAATTCAGTGTCTGAATTTGAACTATCAAATGAATCCGAACTACAGCCAAATCAATTTGATAAACCATCAGAATATGATTGTATTGGCTCCAGCTTGCAAAGGCAATGCATTATCTTTTCCCCAAAGAAAGAGCAATTGTGTTGGTGCTAAGAAGATGCTTCAATAAGAAGTTTATCCAAAGGTTAAAGGCATGTATAGGGACTGGTAGCTATCCAATGTTGAAAGTGGCAGGAAAAAATATGGAGGAACTCCTAAGGTAGTGCTTTATACTAGGTCTTCATTGAGCATCCCAGCATGGAGGGAGGGCATGGCAAGCACAGATATAAGCACTACAGAAGAGTTCTTATCTGATTCTGAAGTTAAATGTACTATTTTCTCTCTCATTTTTATGTTTTCTAGCCACACTAAAATCTTTTCTGACACTGAAATAATAAAATGTCCTTCCCCCAATTCTAAGGGCAGCTGCTGCTAATATGGGCTAGGGGAGGGCACAAGGAGCTTGGCAGCACCCATGAGCATTGCCAGCTAGAATTGCAGCCCTCACACCCCGCTTCACTCACTCGAGTAACCCATGCCTCTCTCCTACGAGCCCGAGGCATGCTGGATGTGAGCGCTGAGGGAAGAGAGATAGATACATAGATGGGCTGGTGCTGAAAAAGGAATCATGCACCTTCTGTTGCTGCTCACATGAAATTGTGAATAGAAGCATGAGCAACGGCTCACACTTGCAAATAAGTCTCAGATCTGTACTAAACCTGGGCTTGAGATAATGTTACCAGCTGCCCTCTGCTACCAAGTGTCAGCCATGTATATGACAATTAATAATATAAAGTGTTACAATAAGAAGTAAAAGCAGTTGAGCACAGTGTTTTAGGGGGCAAACAAAGGGTTGATAAAACGGTGAGTACTGCTGCTGGACACTTGATGACAGCTTTGCGGTTGCAGAAAATTTAGAAGAAGTGCATTGTTAAATGCATTAAAAAGAATGGACAGAGATCTATGAGAATTCTCACTGCTATGGAACCTTTCTGCATGGATTACTTTCCCCTAAATAACATGTGCAGAGAAGAAAAGATTAGTGAAATTGTGCAAGGTATGATTTTCAGCTTTAGATATAGGCTCCAAAGATGTAAGGGTAGATTCTCAGCTGGTTCAAGTTGTCCAAGCTCCACTGAAGTTAACGGATTAGGACAATGTCCAATAGCTGAGGATCTCCCCACTTTGGATTGGATCAAAACAACAAAGGAAAATAAGTACTGTCGCCTTTTGCATAAAGTGCATTATAGCCACTTTTTAACAGAGCTTAATAAAAAGTGGAGATAAATATTAAATAAAACCCTGGATTCAAACTCTCCTAAACTTTGTGGGGGAATATGAAATCTGAACCTGATCCATATTTATAAAATCTGAACCTGGATCCAAATCCACATTTTACATCAGGAAACAAACCTCCAAACCTGAACACTCCTGAATTTTTGGGTATTTGAAATTCAGATCTGCCACCAAATTTGTGCCTAGAGCCCATCTCTAATAGAGAGTTAATAATGAGGAAAAGAACATCTGACTGTTACTTACAGAACAACTGGGCCATTGGCTCCTTGGAAAACCTCATTAGATAATTTTTCTAGATTGTGATTATCACTAAGATTTCTGTAAAACATAACAATAAGACAATCAGGGATAAATAACTTTGCTACGGTTACTATTTCCCAGTAATTGTTTTGCTGAATACCAAATAATAAGAATAGTTACAGCTCATCCAAGTAGGTTCCATTAAATGCATGATTCTGAATTTCCCGAATTCCATTTTTATTCAGTCGTCTGCAACAAAGAGACACATTTTAAAACATTGATTACAGAAAACTATGCTTGTGCATATTAAGTCAGATGCTCCAAATTCTGAAGCATCAGTAGAATTACTGGGTGATATAAAATTAGTTAAATAAATGGTGATCTCTAGGATTAACAGAAAGCTATTATAAAATCCCAGCCACTGTTGTTTGGGATAAATTGGATTAAATGTGCTGGGCCAGGTTCTGCTTTCACTAATATTGATGTTAAACCAGAGTAGCTGCAGTGAAGTCAAAGGTGGTCCTCCAGATTTACACCAGAGTAAGTGAGATCAGAATCTTTCTGACTGTTAGTGTTAATGCCATTCAAACTTTGCATTTGCAAAGTGCTGTTCAAACCTTGGGCTAACTGCTGCTAATTACCACAAAGAGGAGCAAAATGCAACAGGAAAGACTCCAAAGAGGTGGAAGGGGAAGAGCAGGAGCTTCACTGAAAGCACTCACTTGCCTCCAGAAACTGTGAAGGACTCACTGACCCAGTGCTGCTAGATTGGGGTTCAGAGGCTTTGGCATGGAGAAATAGCTGGGGAATGAAAAAGGGGACTCCCAGGAGCCATCAGACTTTTTAGCATTCTCCTCTAACAGGCAAAGTTCTCATGAAAATCTGCTGGCACATTAGTGCTGCTGGGACCAGCAGTAACTCCCCATCTGTGCCCTCTCTCCCCCTCTGAGAGATAAGGGCACTGGAAAAGGAGTGGGACTGGCTCCACATCAAGGCAGGGGGAGGGAGCTGGGTGGAAATAGTGCAGAATTTGCCAAGATAGCTGCTGAGTTTCTAATGCATCTGCTGCCTTCACAGACTACATCCCCTATATGCTCCACAGACCCCCTACTCTCTCATGTTCTCCCCTCCGAGAAAAGAATTAGGCAGCAATTCTATGAATTTAAATTCATGGAGTTCTCTGCTGAGTTTTAACTGTGGTGCTTTAACAAATTAATGTTTAATGTCCCTATCCCATGCTCCCTCCATGATCCAAAAAATTGACATTTGGGTCAGTTATATTTATCATTTATACAGTATAGTTTTTCATCTCCTTTATTGTTACTCTGTACCACTCACCCCCTCTGACACTGAATGACAGGTCTGACTGATGGCATGAAACAAACAATTAAATTAAACTTTCAGAAAACCTACACATTTTACTTCTTGTTCACAGCGAAAGCATGCAAGTGACCCACTAATCTAAGGTTCAAGATCGTGGACTTAGGTCAACATGAAAATCAAGTATAGGCTTGGCTGGAAAGATTACTCCTTTGACCACGAAAGACAGATGTACATGACTCAACGTCTGCAATGTGTGTCAGATCAGATCATGGAAACTGTCTCCTATCCCATCCACTCACAGGCACTATTAGAAATGAGTGAGCCAACACAGAAAGGCAAGACAATCGGATATTGTTTTTACCATCTGACACATTTATTATGTTACATCATTCATATTAGTTAGCATCTGCCACTCTGATTTTTTTTAAAAATCATAATATTGGCACTCATTGTGTTTGTGATACTACCCTGTTGAGTATGGATCCTGCTGCCATACAATCCTGACTACGCACGGCAATCACCTGGAGGAAAAATACAGCCACTACTTTCAAGCAAAAAATATATACAAATTATACATTTACCTTTGAGTTAAACCCTGGAGTCCTCAGTCACTTTTTACTCAACTCTCACATAGCCAACCTCCCTTTGGCCCAAATTCTTCTCTTATTTAAACCAGCACATATCCTGAGCAACTTCAGACTAAAATGGAAGTCTTGCCTGAGTACGCTGAGTAAAAATAACTCGAGAGCTCCGGAATTTGGCTTTTTGTGTTTATGTTTGATCACTGTATTGGTACATTTACAAAATAAGGGTGACATTCACTCCTGTGCAGAAGGCCAGCACAAAGTCTATAGCACCATTTAAGTCTCATGCTGAATTTTGAATGTTTAAGGTGAGGCATAGATTTTGCGTTGGGGTGAATTTCAATCTTTTAGATATTTTTAGGAGTTCTTAACTGAATTTACATAAAACTTCAGTTTGCCCTCCCCCACACATCTTCAGATATGGTTTGACTTTCAGCTCTAAACACACTTAACCTCTAGGGAGAAATCCTGGAACAATGAAATCAATAGCGTTTAGTGGGTATTTAAAAGGATCTGACTGAGAAAGCTGTTGAAGCATAAAACTGACTGGAGAGTGGAAGTGAGAGTGCAAGTGACTCACATTATGCCTTTCCTTTTTTAAAACATCCTTCTGAGAATATAATTTTGGGTTTTTTTCCTTTGTGAAGCTTTTCCTCAACAATAATGCAGAATGTTCTTTTTAGTTGGTCTATATTGGCTAAAATGTGCAGCAGTGATCAGATATGCCTGCCAAGGCTGGAATATGGAACACAAATAACATAGTGATGCTGGGGGCTTTACATGACGTGGGATCTATTTTTTTAACATAATAAACTTAGTTCAATGGATTACTATTTCTGATATAAATATTTCACAATAGTGCAAGTGAAGGAACATTAGGATTATGTGGGGATGGAGGCAAATTTGGGTTTAAAATGAGGTATTTCCTTCCTATGGAGAGATATGCAGTACTGAGAGGTATACCAAAATGAGATCTTATTAAAGGTATACCAGAAACTGAATAAACTAAATACTGTACTTCATTCCTGGAAGAAATTAGCTCTACTTTCTGTGTAAAAGCACAGTAGTTGCAATGAAGTCAAAGGTGTGTAAAAGCAGCTTTGTCCTATTTTTCTGTGACCCATCCATGATACTCCCTGTGGGTGAAATTCACCCATGTAGATGGCAACCACAAAGCTATGCACAATTTTAGGGGATATTGATATGAATACTTAGTTTGTGGCAAGCTGCAGTGTAATCTACCCTGTTCTATCCTGTCACACACTAACTGTCTGTGAGGACTCTCCAGCCATGCAATAATAGTTCTATAGTGCACTTTTAATCTATTCCCATTTCAAAGCAGGGAAGATCAAAGTGCACTATGGATCTTCTAGTGCACTGCAGTAGGGTCCACATGGATACTCAGTGTACAGGAGAGATTTATATCCCAGTTTTCTGGAAACTAAGTGTTTCTGTAGACAAGCCCTGAGGGCTACCTCTAAATTCCATCAGCCTCATATCCCAAAATCATCCCAAGCAGCAGCATGAGACTATCTTACCCATCTCATCTTCATTTTATGGGTCACAGTCCAAAAAAAAAAAGACTGAGATCCACTGGTCTAGTTAAGTCAGAATGGGGCTGGGAGTCACGGACTCTTGAATTCTAATCCTAGCTGTGTCATTGGTTTACTTTGTGGCCTTGGATAGATCACCTAATCTTTGTGTCTGTTTTCGCTCTATAAAATAAAGATAATGGGCTGGATTTTCAGCTGCACCCATTGTCCATTGGATGCAGTTTTTTGGTATGGCAACTTGAAAAGGAACATTAAAGGTTGATGTCCAGGTTTGTCATCCACTCTATGGCTTCTAGTGACATGGAATGAATCAAAGCTGTCCCGCTCGAGAAGGATCTTGGAGGGAAGCAGTCCACTAGATATTCCATAATTTGGAATAGGCTGTCCTTCATTTTCGGTGAATGTAGTTGATGTGGATTCTGTTGATGTGGGGGCAGAGAGGAGCTAGTTGTGACTCCCTGATTCTGGGGCTAGTTCTATGCCAACCCCAACCCTCATGTAGTTTACTGCAGCCTGAGGTCTGCTCTAAAGTTAGCTGGCTTTGACCCCAAGGGACCATTACATCAGTACAGAATAGCTGGAGTGCAGTAGCACTCAGATCTCAGTCCTTCCCAAAGTGACCACTATACCATGGGATGGGTGGCACAAGAGCCTCAGGCTCAACATGGTACTCCTACAAGCTTGGGGAATCCCCAGCAAGAGAGATAAGGCAGTTTTCTGGTCCCTTCATGTTGCTAGGGTGGCAGGTGGCATAAAGAAATCGGATGACAGGAAAGAATCTTTCTCCACAGTAGTTAGTTACCTCACCTCTTAGGGGTTTGTAGAAATTAAGAAGGTGCTGTTTGTACAGTGCTTAGAAGATGCAAAGTGCTATATATAGGTGCTAAGTATTACCATTATGATTAAATAAGACAGAAGAGGTAAACGAATGAGATTTAGGGTCTTATTCTCTGGGTAGCTATTCCATATAACAGTGGGAATATCTCTGATAATACTTTTTCACTCTTCAGCGAATACTATCCACATCTGTAGATTTTTAGGGGGATGGGATGGATAAATGGTGGGGTAGACCAGTGATTCTCATCCAGGGGTCTGGGGCTCCCTAGGGGGCCTCGAGCAGGTTTCAGAGGGGTCTCCAAGCAGAGCCAGCATTAGACTCGCTGGGGCCCAGGGAAGAAAGCTGAAGCCCCATCACATGGGGCTGAAGCCCATGTCCCTGAGTCCTGCCACCCAGGGCTGAAGCTGAAGCCTGAGCAATGTAGCTTCGTGGGGGCCCCTGTGGCATGGAGCCCCAGGCAATTGCCTCGCTTGCTACCTACTAAACCTAGCCCTGGCTTTTATATGCAGAAAACCAGTTACTGTGGCACAGGTGGACCGGTGAGTTTTATAGCATGTTGGGGGAGCTCAGGAAGAAAAAAGGTTGAGAACATCTGGGGTAGACAAACGAGGGGTGATAGTAGTTAACTTTGCTATAGCTCTATCTTCAAATATTGAGGGTCTGATCCTGCTTCCACCCAAATCAGTAAGATCAGAATTGCTTTGCTACATGACCCCTGCTTTCTATATCTGAGTCAAGCTGCAGGGAGTAATGGTAAATTTTCCAAACTAGGCACTGGCCTAAGTGGAATGAAAAAAGATTTTTAGTACAGCAAACAAACATTCAATGTGCCTATAAAAGGGATCTGGAAACCCAGCTAGTTCATTAAAAAACATGATCGTTAAGTCAAATGAGACTTTGTCTAACTACACAGCATGAAACTGCATTGTGAACTGGCCTGTAACAATATATTAGCGTTATGTACAAGTATACCATATTTTACACATATCTACATGTAATTTGCTTGAATAATGAATGTCTTTGAATGATGTATCTGATTGCAAATATGTATGAGCTATTCGTCCTTTGGAACACAATTTGTATTATGTGGAACCAACATGGTCTTTAACCTTGGTACCATTAATTGTTAAATTTTCTCTATGCTCTGCTGTGGTTCTAAAATACAGATCTGAAATGAAAAGGCAGGAGGGAGAGAGAGAGATTACTGAATACTGAAAATATAAAAGTAGACAAGAGATATTTCTTAGTTAGAAGCTTTGCCCATTTGCAAACCCATTTAAATGTGGTGGGGATTTTAAAGTGGGTTCTGGGTTCAATTTCTATTTAGGAAAAACTGGGGGGGGGGAAAGGGGCAGAAAGGGATCAGAGAGAAGAAACTCAGTGAAAATGAGGGTGACAAATGGAGTAGAGCACAGACAGAGTGAAGAATAAACAAAGGCTGTGTAAAAAGAGCAGTGATAATGGGGGGATACCATTCTGATGGAAAAAAAGAGGATATCTAATGATTCTCAGCTGCCCTGAGTTTATACTTGGAGGAGACAGCCATCAGGCTTATTGGCTCCATGATGCTCTGCTGGCCCCATTTGTATGCTTGCCAGCCTAACTTTTGGGGGGCAGTTCTATCCCTGACACACAGCACATATATAGCTCTCACTGTTGCCCCATGCCATTGGCTTCCTCCCATCTGTTTCCTGTATCTACATGTTGTCTTTTGTTACATACTTTGACAAATGTGTGGGACAAGAATTGTCTTTTTGTTTTGTGTGTGTCGCACTGGGGCTCCAATCCCTGCCTGGTGTCTTGAGGAGCTGCACAATACAAGTATTTAACAACAAGACAAGTTTCTTCCAGCCAGAATTTGTTATAAATGAATTCAATCTTCATGGGATAAAAACCCCTACACATGTTTGAATTACAGGGTAAAATTCGTTTTGCAAACCTATAAAATAGCACCCAACAAAGTTTCTCAGGCTCTATTCTGGAGAAGATGTGAACTAAGATGTGGTATTTGCTAATTCTTACTCACATAATGACACTTTCAGAACTCAGGCCCATGAAGGAATTCCTTTCAATTGTACGTATATTTATATTATCTTGAATATCTCTGAAAAAGAAAGTAAAGTAAAAATTAAACAGTTTTGTAGCTCTGTGATCCTTTCATTTCTTTGACAGGAAATGACGCTTCAAACACCAAAGAAATTTTTCTTTACATTAGATCTGAGAAAATATTTTACATGTAGGTTTCCTGAATGATATCACTAAGTTTGTCCAAGTACTGCTGGGGAGTGAAATGGGAGCAATTACTTCCATACTTTTGCTTTTTGCTTTCTAGAGCATGCATCTTAAGCAAGGCAAAATCAACAGTATGCACTTAGGGATGGATCCTTTGAGCCTCAGACCCATGAATAATACTGCCACAACAAGTAATTAAAGAAGTTGCAGGATTGGCCCCTAAACTAATGCAGAGAAGGGTCATCTTTTTTGGCCCTGATTCATCAAGGTACTTAAGCATGTAAGTAATTCCTCCACTAATGTCAACTACTCATGTGCTTAAAACTAGGCACAGGCTAAACTGGGGCCTCTGACAGTTTATTGCATTGACAAGTATTCATTTCAGTCAGTTCCACAGTAGACTGTTATATATAAAAGGATAAAGGATGACTGATGTATAAAAGGATATACTCATACACATTTCTGTTACTTGCTCAAAATACAGCTCCAAGAAGTTAAACAGTATTACTCATAATTTAGACTGGGAGAATTGTTGTTTTCATGCTGTTTTTAATGGAAAGCAGTGAACATAATGAATTACTTGCAAAGCCTGAAACTTAATGCAGCTTTAAACTTGTCTCATTCTGAGCGCTATATATGGCCACGATACTGAATTATCTGATAGTTAAACAGGGGCCTCATTCTGCAAGTGTAACTCCGATTGAAATCCACAGGAGCATCAGTAAGTGAAATTCACACCTGTACAAAGAGCCAGGACAAGGCCTTATAATATTTATACATACATGCACACACACATCCGCACGTGCACACATATACCATTAGATTCCCAATTATGGAATGAAATCCTGCCCCTCTGAAGTCAACAGGAGCTTTGCAATTGACTTTAAGAGGGCCAGGACTTCAACCAACATCTATTTTGGGACTTAAATGGTGTGGCCTTCTGCAAAGGGAGGAATTTCACCTCAGGCAAATAACCTGTGATTCTCTAGCATAGATCGATCCAGAGTAACTAAGTCTGAAGATGATTACAAAGCTGCCTAGAACAAAGGTTTCATGGATCCTTGCATGCTGTACCTGCTATATGGAGTCACAAAGAGCTAGAGTGCAATTCCAGAAACTCCATACTTGACAAAACACAGTACCTATATATTTGAATAGCAGTACCCAAGATAGGTGGAGGATTAATATTCCTGAAGATTAATGTCATATAAGATTTAAATCTAAGCAAGAGTAGTGGAAATAGACCCCAACTTTCTATTAATATACCTCAACACCAGCCACCTGTAAGAATGAAACAAGAGTGCCTATTCATTCCCTGGCTGCTTGTGACTGCCAGCCAGGGCTGTTGAAAAATTTCTATCAAAACTGTGTTTTTGATAGTGAATTCCTGACCCTATTAAAGTCCATTGCAAAATTCCTACTGACTTCCAGGTGTCAGGATTATCAAAGCTGGTTTTTGATGGAAAAATTAGGTTTTTGACTAAATGAAAATTTTCACAGAGAGTGCTTGCTTTCCATGGAAAGTGTTGACTTTTTGTTGGGAAAAAAACAACCTGAAAAATGTTTACGTTTTTGTTTTTTCAACAAAAAGTCAAAATTTTCCATGGAAAATTTTAAATTAATGATTTGTTCTCCATTTTTGTTGAAAATTTCTAAGGGAAATATTACCCTATTTTCCAACCACCTCTATTGCCAACACAGGTGTTGACTGCAGTGATTTTTTTGAAACTTGTCCATTGGGAAGTGGATTCAGACCAACTCATTTCACACAGACCATAGAACAGTCACCAGATGACAACAAATTTCTGTCTCTACCAGTCTGGCTTGAATTTAAATTGGTGACTTAGAAGTTAAAGGTTATTGTTGGTCCCATGAACCAAATAAAAAGTTCTCTGTCACATGCCATATATAAAATCTTGTCTAGAAAAGTCACTGGAACACTCAAATAATGTAAAACAAATTATCAATGCGCACCAGATTACAACTGGTGATGAAGTGACAAAGTCACTAAACAAATGCAAAGGGAAACATGTCCAAGATCTTATTAGAGGAGCAGACCATTTGAATGGAGATAACAAAAAGTTAAAAGCAGCCAATATAAACTTACAATACAACTTTCTGGAGAGATTGTAGCTTATGTACAGTAGGTAAAAACTTAATGCCAGTGTTTGATATTGACCTAAAGAGGGAGAGAACAAATGAAGATTATTAGCTGTGGCTCACAAGTAAAATAAAACTAACGAAGAAATACAGGAATAAAATTGGCAAACATTTAGAGTGAAATTGAGCCATGTGCAGAAGGCCTACACACCAGGGAAACCATACTTATGTTGTATAGTATGGGTGTATGGTATAGAAAAGTAGTGGCCTAACTCTGCTACCCCTGAAGTCAGGAGTAAAACTCTCATTGATTTCAATGGGAGGGGAGTAAGGGCAATGCTAAATGCTTTCTGAAATGCTACCCCTCAGGACTTAAACTGGTGTTGCCTAAGGAGCCTTTCACCGACCCCCTGCACAGGAGTGCATTTCAGCCTTCATTTGTTACGTTTCAGAAATGTATTTTGCTTAGATGTCAGTTCATCAATAGTGCGTTGGTTCAGCAACTGAAGGACCCAGATTAGGGACTGAGTTTAGGGTGCCAAAAATAAAATGAAAGAAGGGCATGCCTATTACACAGATGGGGGGGCCACAGGATCAAGAGTAGAAAGCATCCGATTTCTAATTTTACACCTTTTATTAATTTAATAAAGACATGAACTTCCAGACTGAGAATAATTAAAGTACCTGACATTCTGGACTGAAGGAAGGTTCTGTCGTGGTGTTTGTTTTTCCACTATCTTTTAAACAGATTAATCACAGTGACACAGAATAACATGTTTTTATAATATGTATTTGTAAATATGAACCCATTTTTAACCACAATTTTTAACCTCCACTTTAGTGGAATTGTCATTTCCACTGGAAAATGACAGCACTTCACAAACTAGGAAAAACCAGACTGTTTGTTTCCTAGTGTGTTGGGTATTTATAATGTGAACATACATTAGCTATGTAGCAATTAGTCCCACTTGAGATGAAGCTGAGTTTCAAAAATTGGAATCAGAACTAAGTCCCAACTTCCCCCACAATAAGGGTTTCTTGCATCAGGGGTTGTGGTTGAGGCATGTGACCATGCTCTTCACTGTCCAAGAAAAATTACTTGGCACACTTGAGTAGGACTCAAGGGCTTGTCTATACTTATGGCTAAATCAGCACTGCTGCGATTGGTGGCAGTGTGCACTCCCGATGACTCCTGTATTCCAGGTCCCCAAGAAGAGTAAGGTAAGTAGGCAGGACAGCATCTCCCGTTGACACAGTGCAGTGTAGACACCGCTTTAAGCAGGGCCGGCTCTAACTTTTTTGCCGCCCCAGGCAAAAAAGAAGAGCGCTGCCCCGCCGTAACAGCCCCCTCCCAGCGCCGTGCCGCCGACCCCAGCACTGCGCCGCCGACCTCCCCGCAAGCACCACGCCTTGCCGCTCAAACCCCGAGCGCCTCGCTGGGCCAACCAACTCCCCCCCCGAGCGCCGGGCCGGGCCGGCCAAACCCCTGCCTCCGAGTGCCACACCGCGCTCGGGCCGCCCAAACCCCGCCCCTCCACCAACGCCGCCGCGCCA